TTATTTGTTTCCCTACGCGAGAGATCAAATGAGAAATAAATTGAAGCCATTAGCTAATAAAAATATTATTGTAAACTTATTCAAAATATTAAAATGAAAGAATAAATAAGAAACTTGTATAATTTCTAGAAATCAAGCTTATTTAATAAAAAAGAACAGTAAGGGAAGGCATTCTACGTGTATAAAAATAAAGTTACAAAAGTAGCGCTATTTTAGAAATATATATATCACATTGGTTTTCATGCGCCATCTAATGTTTTGAGTGAATTGAGCCTACTTAGCTGGATTTTCCCTTGTGTTTGCTATACAACCGAATAATATTCCGTTTTATTTTTATCAATACATCTACGGCTAAAATCATAATGAAGTCCAGCAATATGCAGTTTATCTTGTTTGCATTGAGAATCTCTTGGAATCTGAATGGTGCCTGATAGGCTGATATGGTAAAGAGGAACTGAGCATTTCCCTTAAAATATTAAGCTGTCAATCCACAATTTCTGTACTAAAAAGCTTCTTGATGCGTCCAGACTTATCCATCACGTTTCTTCCCAATTAACGGTTAAAGTTTAGCACAAACAACCGAGTCACAGACAGCAAATCTAACGTAGCTTCCAGTACGATGAATGGCGGCAAACCAAGTAACGTGACGAGAGATATACCAAATAACATGGATAGACAACTGATTAATACTGATTTATGAAAACAAATGCCACTAACACAATATATACTTATAGTCAAATTAAGTAATGGATCATCTCTCAACTTTGTTTCATTGGTATTGTATTCTAGTTAATACGGCAGGAGTTCGGATAAAACCTGTTTGTTAGAAATATGCCTGACATAGTAATCCTAATCTACATCTGCAAACTGCAAATTATACCATTTAGCGCATGCAAAATGAGAGTAGGTTTACTCCATCTTGATGACTGATTGAAAGGTATGCAATTTTGGTTTCCTGGATATTAGAAACTTCTTTGATTGCGTCGAGCAGAAAAACCAGTGTCGTCTTCATCTTTGATGAAGGGTTTAAATCTAGCGAGGCCACCACTTCCACTATATGCTTGGCCTCTGTTTGCAGCTTGGTGATCTGATGGATCTGGATTGCCACAAATCCCAAGTTTGACTATAAATGTAGCTGTGCTTCCTTTGTCAAGACCCTCACTCTCAATCCATATGTGACCTCCCATGAGGTTTACAAATCTGAGTCAATTTTTTGAGGAGTCAAAGACTTAATAGACGAATTTAAGCTATAATATAAACACCCATTTAGCATAAATGCAAAGACGGAATTGAGAAACTAATGCAAAAACTCAAAGCAATATTAGACACGGGTGTGCATGGTTCAGTTTTTTTAAAAACCACGTTAAACCAAACCGCATTGTTTTTACCAAACCAAACCAATTCATAAACTATTTAAATCACGTCAATAAACCGGTTCAAAGTCAAGCCATTTTTATAAACAGGTTTAAAACTGATTTCATAACCAAATAAATTTCGAACTAATTTTAAGATCAGAACAAAATCAAACCAGTTTTTTATAACAAAAAAAAGTTATTTTTTTCTAAATTCTGAACAAAGTCATAGATAAATACATTCTTTAGAGATAATTAAAAGCCTTTTACTAGCTTGACATCTTACTCAAATACTAATTAAATAGATAAACATAAAAATGAGATAGAAAATTGCTTATTTTATTAAAAAATATTTTTTTAAAAAGTTACACTAACGACCTATTGAAGTCAACTCAAAAGCATTGACAGCTATAATAATCGTTTGAAAAATTACTTCTGATTTAATTTTATTTCATTATTTAAAAAATGGTGTACGTGTGCACCAAACTTAATTATCAATATAGTTCAGTTTTTAAAATTTATTTTATGTAAAGAATCCGGTTTAGTATTTTTCTAAATTGGTCATGATTTTTTTAAATGATGCTTTGGATTTTTTTCACACCCCCAAGTATTAGATGCTTTTCCCTCACCTTTTACAAATGGCAAGCCCAAGACCTGCACCACTGCTAGGTCGAGCCGGTCCACTCCGAGACTGAGCAAACTTGGTAAAGAGATGCGGAATATCTTGGGGGGGAATCCCACATCCAGAGTCCTTAACCTGCACAAAGGATGCCCGTGTCAATAATAATAATAATAAAGAAACAGCAATATCTAGATTGACTTCTAACATTTGCCATATTGACGTCGATAACAACAAAAGGCAAAATATCTTTGGTTTAATTCCTAGGAATCTAGGTACGACCGTATGGATGCTTCAGATAATTCAAATTTTAGATAACCAAAGAATTCAATCGCATCACAACCCGGATATAAAACATGGAATTTTTCTAAAACTTGATATTGGATGGCTCGGTCATAACCTGGACTCGTATGTAAAAATGCCCATCAGTTGATGCTGGATAGAACTCTGGAGGTCGCCAATCCTGTAAAGATTCTGGTTTTGCAATAGATGCTCTTATAGAAACATAACCCTCCTTAGTGAATTTAACAGCATTACCCACAACATTCAAGAGAGTCTGTGTAAGCCGCTTTTCATCACCGATGGCATGAGTAGGTAGATCAGGAGCCAGAATTAAAGAAATAGGCAATTTTTTTACAGATGCTATAGGCTTTATTAGTTCAACGACCTGTATTCAAGATAGAAAAACATAACGACAATGCCTAAATGCAATTCAAGGTAAAGATTAAAGAACTATGTTACTGCTATTTCAAAATAATGAAGCAAAATCTTATAGCAACTACCTCTCCCAAAACACCATGAAGGTTGAATTTTCCCATTTCTAATTCAAGGCTACCATCTTCAAGTCGAGAAAGATCTAGAACATCATTAATTAGTGTTGCCAAAACATTACTACTCTTCAACACTGTCTCTATCATAACCCTCTGCTCTGGAGTCAGTTCAGTTTCCAAGAGAAGTGACGACAGTGCTATAATTGCATGCATTGGTGTCCTCATTTCATGATTCATGACAGCTAGAAAATCATTGCGAGCATGAATTGCCATCTCTGCCTCTCGTCGAGCTAAATCTAAAGCAACATTCTGCTCCATGAGTTGATCACGGGCTCGCATAGACTCCTCCAAAATAGCAGCATGTGAAAGGGCAACTGCTACCTGTTTGGAAACTAAATGAATTCAACAAGTAGAGAAATAGACACCAAATGTAGATATTTTGAAATGTCTCAACAATAACAGCAATGCCGCCCCATTTGAGTTGCATATAAAGAAACAAATCCCACTAACACCAGAGAGTGTCAGAACTTTTTTGAAATGGAAACTACAACAAAACCAAATTTCAAACATCATGTTAACACGGTCATTCAATCTAGTAAGAAAATGATATTCCTAGAAAGCATCAACTGAATGAAACGTTATGGGTGGTTAATATGGTGTTATTCATATAATGAGGCATACATATAAATGGGGAATGAGGCAGATTCCACACATGCTGAATTACTGGTTAAATTTAAGCTAGATAGATGTATACATCAGATTAGCTCAAATTTTCTGTCAAGAGATGCTATTAGACGTTATCAAGTGTTTGTTTTCACCTATATTCAATATCCAAATGGTGTTTGTTAAGATCCTGCATCAGCTAGGTATATAGCCGCAGTACTCCTTATAATTACTCGGATAATTTCCCCCCCTTGAGCTAACTTCTGATTGAGTGAGCACGTTTGGATAAACTTTTCCATAAATACTTATAAGAGAATAAAATAGAAAAAAATAAAATAAAATAAGTTTTTTCATAAGCTTAAAATAACTTGTGTATAAGTTAATTTGTAGAAATTTTCTCAAATTAACTTTTAAAAAAAATCATTTTAACTTATGCATAAGTTAATTTTAACTTATAAAGAAACTTATTTCATTTTTTCTTTCTATTTTCTTCTCATAAGTACTCATGGAAAAATTTATCTACACAGATCCTCCCTTAGAATCTTAGACCCCGTCCATTCTCAATTTTAATATATTA